TATTTAAAATTATTCATCTTATTTAATAATTTTACTTTTAATTTTAAAGTTGATCTTATGTTTAGTTTATTCATTTATTAACATAAGCTAAGTGTTAGCAACATTATTTTTCTATTTTTATTGTTTGTTAAGAATCTGCTTTTCTATGATTACAGAAAAACATATTGGCATTATTCAATAATAATATCATTAATGAAGAAACAGTTCAATTTATTCAGAAATCAAAAAATTGGTTTTAATTTTAGACGTTTCTAGGAACATTTCTAGTTTAAAAAGTGAAATAATTAAAAATAAATTATATTAGTAATTTGAACTATAAATTAATAGCAAAAGAATTTGCATATACACTGGACGACAAAAAAAATAACGCACCATGAAGGACTTATTGGATTTGAATAAAAGTTGGTATATGACATCGTCATTGCTAGACAGATATATGATTGCAACCATAAAACAAAAACATACTTTATTGTGCAGTAATATGCAATACAGTGCAGGTACTAATATCCTGTTGGGCCGCCTCTAGCGCGGATACAAGCTGTGATACGCCTCGGCATGGAGGCATAAAGGTCGCGAATAATGTTCTGAGGCATATCTGTCCATGCATGATGCAATTGGGACTCAAGATGAGTCAGATCCTGTGGCTGTCGCAGCTGGCGACCCAAGTGGTCCCACACATGTTCGATTAACGATAAATCTGGAGATCATGCAGGCCAAGGAAGTGTGGAAACGTTATGTAGGCATGCTTGGGAGACCGCTGCAGTATGTGGCCGGGCATTATCCTGCTGGAATATGCCTGTCGGAAGCCCTGCCATGAGGGCAACACATGTGGCTGGAGGATGTATTGCACATATCGTTTGGCTGTGAGGGTAGTACGCATGACAACTAGAGGTGTCCTACTGTCGTATGTTATGGCTCTTCACACCATAACACTGGGGGTTGGGCCCGTGTGCTGCTCCACGGTATAGGCCGGATTGACACCTTGACCAGCGGGCTGCCATACTCTCACACGGCCATCGTGAGCCCCCAAACAAAAGCAGGATTCGTCGCTGAACACAATATGCTGCCAGTCGGTAGCGGTCCACGATTGTCATGCACGACACCACTGCAGACGGAGGCGTCGGTGGGTGGCTGTTAACGGTAGAACACATACTGGGCGTCGGGAGATCAATTCGCCTTCTACTAAGCACCTGGAAATGGTGCGGCTGGATACACTGTTCCGTAATGCAGGTGCCATTACTGCATGAATGGTAGACGATGAAGCTGTAGGCGCTGTCCGTGCTTGACGTACAATGAGACAATCCTCCCTTCTGGTGGTCTGTCGATAGCGTCCGGAACTTGTTTGCCGTTCGTGTGTACCCCTACTTACCCACTGCTCATAACACATCCTAACAGTTCTATCAGAACGGTTCAGATGGCGGCCAATCCGGCAGTATGACCATCTTCCTCTCAATCCAACAATGCGACCTCTCTTAAACTCACTTAACTGAGTGTAAGGCTGTCGAATGCGTCGTAGAGGCATGTCTGTCACTCAATGAAGTCAAAACCATGAATAAAAGCGCAGAAAATATGCACAAGTTGTCACAGCGTGCACCTTTATACCAGGCAGCAGAAACATTTTTTCCCCTCTGGTGGCGATATAACACAAGAACCTACTCTCAAAAGCTAATCATTTACATATCTAGCTAAGATGATGCAACATATCAATTTTTATACAAATCCAACAAGTCCTTCATGGTGCGTTATTTTTTTGTCGTCCAGTGTATAACCACAGATTATTCTGCTCTATGTAATTCATTTTTTTTAGAATTTGATAACTATTGACAAAATTAATTCTACATCAAGTTTGAAAAACTAGTCTTAAATTGAAAAAGATTCAAGCCAATGCAGATTGATATTGCCTGTCTGTAATTTTCATCTTTAAAAACAAGAGTACAGATTTTTTTTTCTGACAGTGAGTTTACATGGATGCTTTTTATTTTACTCTACTTAAATGTAGAACAGCCAAAACAATGTTAAATTTTTTTCTTTTTTATTCCCTTTTTCTCTCATTCAAATTAGTTTCTCATTCAGACATAATTTGTATTATTTTCTACTATTACAAGTGGACAAACAAGCTGAATTCTGTTCTGTTTAGCATTATTAAGGATATATTAGAAGAAAGTTATACTTACTCAATCAATTTTTATGTTCACTGTTTGTTAAGGATCTCTCCTTATATTATTAATGCAATTCATCATCATATCATACAATAGCATTTATCATTCATTGAATAATTTCTGTTTTCCTTTAAATAACTTCGAAATTGAAGTTTATTTTTATCCTTGTGCAAATAATAAATAAATTGCTTTTTACTGAGTTTAGATTTTTTATTGAATATTTGAACAGTTGCTATTTCAATTTTTTAAATTTAAATTTCTACTATTAAATTTCTTATCCTATTAACTGGTACATTGTATTGAAACCAATATTTATTGTATGTTTTCTTTCTGTGAATTATACATTGATATAAAATAAAAGAAAACTTTGATAAAGAAAAATTTTAAGAACTAAAAGCAAATCTAAAGGTATTCTGTTAGTTCTTTAGTTTTAGTACTCCAACAATTTTTAAATTAAAATGAATATTTTTAGCTTTATTTATAAGCAATATTCAGGTTTCTTAGAATATAAGTAAAATGAAAGAATAAACTTTAAATTAAAAATGTGAATTTATAAGATTTTAAAAATATGTTTAAATTATTAATACCTTTATATAATTGAACCATTTTAATATATTTATCAAAACTTGTCAATATTTATCAAAAATAAATGTATTAATATATCGTATATTTTATAAATGTTATGTAAAATATCAATATACATGAATGTATTCCCAACATAGAAATATCTGCTAAGGTACAATGGCCCAACAATGAAATGATTGTATAAAATTTTTGTTTAAGTTCATCATTAGTTTTATTATCTTGATAAATTCTAATTTTAAATTTAAACTGGCTTTGATGTTATCTTAAATGTTACCTTAATGAGGTTTGATGTTTGAAAAGTTACCTTAATTATTCTACTAAGTTCTTTTGATATTCAATGAAAGTGACTTTAAAGTAATGTAGTTTCTCACTGCACCGGGTTGTATATACTTCAACTAAACAACGATCTACAATTAACCAGTAACCGGCGTGAAATTCTTTAAAAATCGACAAACGTTTTCAATTTCCCTCCTGGGATCTTCTTCAGGCATATTTTTGTACCTTCCTTTATAACTGGATTCTTTAATTCAAATGTTTTTAAAAATTATTTTTTTTTTTGGAAAATGGCACGTTTCAAAATTTTTAAAAACATTCGAATTAAAAAATCCAGTTATAAAGGAAGGTATAAAAATAAGCCTGAAGAAGATCCCAGGAGGGGAATCGAAAACGTTCACCGATTTTTAAAGAATTTCATGCCAGTTACTGGTTAATTGTAGATTGTTGTTTAGTTGACTTTAAAGTAATATTTGAGTCTTTTAAATTAATGATACAAATTAAAAATCAAAAGCATATGCAAATAAATTATTATGTATACAGGCGTACCTTGACTTACGTCGTTTCGAGTTACGTCGTTCCCGATTATACGTCGCTTGTTAAAAAAGTATATGGAAAAATAAAAATCAAGTTTAAGTCATTTTATTCGACTTTACGTCTGTCCGCCACAAATATTGAAGTCGTAATATCACTAGAAAAACGTTTAAAGCACATAAAATCATATTAAAATATATACAAGTATGTACTGTATTTACAGTACATGCATTCGTAAATTTAGATTACTTTTTTTGTACTATATTAAAAACTAAAATTTATTTGTTTGTAAGCTTAAAATAGATTTTTATTAACCATATATTATTAAAAATGCATTAATAAATAAAATACAGAACCGGGAATGGTAATTTACGGTTTAGCCTAGTGATAAGTAGATTCGGAGACAAGTAAATTCGACTTACATCGTTTTTCGACTTACGTCGTTTTGCTGGAACCAATTACCGACGTAAGGCGAGGTATACCTGTACTTTTGAGAATATATTAATAAATTATGTAGGCCTATAATATTCTTTAAAATTAAGGTCTATTTATAGTATCCTTTCAGACACAGAAATTTCTGTACAGACAACATACAGATTTTCAGCCTGTTTGTGAAACTGCCATGTTTTACCATTTATCTTATATTGAAGATTTATGTGTAAGTAGCATTGCTGTTGGATGATGACAAGAAAGTAAAGTGTTGTCATTGTTATATGGTTCATAAAATTTAAAGTAAAGAAAGATTTACAGAGAATACTCCAGAGAATAATTTCTTTTTTGGACTTCCCTTTTCTCATTGTTAGTATATCTTTTGACTTCTTGGTCATATAATAATCTATAATGTTTAACAGAATTAGCTTGTCAGAATTTGTTACTTTCTTTATTTTATAATACTATCATTCCTCAGATGACATTGCTCACTTCAAGACAAATGTTATCTGAATGTAATGCCATCCAGCTATTTCTGTTCATGGTTTTCCAACAGGTTCAGACATATATTGTTTCAGACAAAGCATTCTACAAGGAATGTCTGAAGCTCCATCTCTGAATTAATATATGTCTGAATGGAATCATTACACTATGTATAAAAACTTACATTTAAAACTATTCAACAATCTTTGTCTGTTTGAAGTGGAATGCTATTATTACATGTCTAAATGGATAGAATAAATAGACCTTTACTATTGTTTCATTTTATGATATTTATGAATTAAAATTTTTTTCATATTAAATTTGGTATCATTTTTAATATGAAAAAAATTCATATAATTAGCTATTTATTTAGTTCCTAACATATTTAGTTTCAGAAATAAAAAGTGACCTTAATTATTTTACAAAGTTCTTTGCATTTCAGAAATAAAAATTATCAGTAGTTTATAAGTATGCAGAAATTTATTTATAATTTAGATTATAAGCAAGCAAAAATTAAAATAAATGAATATTTTTAAGGGGGATCAAATTGAAGGAAGTGCGATAGATGATGAATTTGCTGATTTGGATCATTCAAATGGGCGAGGAGTTGATGATGAAGATACTCCAGGATCTGGATTTGGACCTGAAGATAGTGAATCTGGATCAGGAGGAGGTATAATAAAAATTTTAATCAAAATTAATGTATTTTCTGAAAAATCTACAAATGTTTATTTTTCCTCAATTAATTGATGAAAATGTTAACTGCATATAAAATTTTCATAAAAGCTTTAAATTAAAAAAATTATTGACAGATGATGTAAGCACTTACATCATTTTTATTCTATTTACTAATAAATGTACTATAAAAATGTCTGGATTGTAGATATAAAGGTACCAGCCTGCCAATCTGATTTGACTTTGAGTCAGTATATAAATTTTTACTATTGAAATGTTTTCTATTTTTTATATGAGTTTGATTTAACAGTCTGGAAAAAAATCAATTCTCTTTTCATATAAGTTGTTTTGTTTAATACATTTCAATAAATTTACTTTTTTAAAATTTTTATTTGGTTTTAATTCTAAGAAAGATATTCATGCTTTGTCTTCTAGAGTAATTTTCTAATTACTCTCTTATTTAAAAAAGATTCTTAGAATATACGCTTAAGGCTGTTGCACATGCTCAAGTAAATTTTAAGATTTGGCTGTTTTCTTACAACTTATTTGAACATGTGTTGTGACAATCAATCTTTCATTCTGACTTTATCCTGCAATTGAGGCAGTCAGAAAAAATTTAATTTAAAGTCTGATGATTGTATTACTTCAGATTTCTTCCAGGACAAAAAGTTTTTATATGCTATTTGGTGTTGAAACCTAGCTATATTTTGGTGTTTAATTTAATTTTTATTTAATGAAATTTAAAGAATTTTACACTCACAACAGCCGTAAATGATTGGGCTAAATTTGGATATAATGATTATAAATCAGAACTGAATTTGGCACTAGAGTGAGATATTAGGTGTCATCTCATATTAAAATTAATAATTATAATATTTAATTAATTAATTTAGATCTAAATTAATTAATTAAATATTATAATTATTAATTTTAATAATACTGGCATTCTTATTGGGACACAAGGGCGTATTTTGACAATGCAATCAAATACACCATAAACTGTATACAATTTTGTAAACATGCTGCAAACAGATTCTTGAAAAGATTTGATGCCCTCAGTATTGTCTAAACCTTATCATCAACGGTGATGTCACTGGTAAGACGATACCTATGTAAACATTGACACCGTTTAAATTTCTACCAACCGTCGTTCTGTCAGACACAGTGTACCTGAAGAAGGCCTATTAAGAACGCCAAAAACGTTCATAAGAATATCCAAAAAAATATAATATAATAAGTGTTGTTAACTCTAAAGTTGAAAACTGCTAAGCTCTTCAAAAACTGCATTTTGGACAGGAAAACTATTATGTTTTAGTGATTTTAAGTGTAAAATCTATCTGTTTAAAACTTATAAATCCCATATTTTGATATAAATTTAAAAAATTATTAATAATTAAAAAATATCAATTGCCCTGATAATATTTTTCTGAGCTTTAAAGCTGTGAACTTTGTAGTTTATTAAATGGAATATTTAAGAAAATCACTTATGGCTGCTGCTATTTTCGTTGTGAATTTGTCTCTTTAATCCGATTTTCAGTTCGGTAGACTATCATATACAGCATTCAGGTTATGAACTTCCTTTATTGATTTGTCATATGCATTTCGGACTCAATTGTAATTTAAGTCCCTCTTCAGTACAAACTCAGATTCTGTTTTCTAAAAACCTTGGTGTATAATTGGTAACATTGTAAAAGAATAAAAATACAGCCATTTAAAAAACACTTCAACTACATATTCACATTAATACGTTGCACACTTTACAAATGTTCATAAAAACCTTTACAATTACAACTTTTTTCAAGAAAAATTCGTATGCACTTTATTGAAATGTTGCAGCAATAATGAACGTTTTTTCAGGTTAATTACTATTAACACACTTAAGAGGATACATTCAGGAAATATATTGTAAAAGTGATATATATAGGAAATATATTGTAAAAGTGTGAATGTATCCTCTTAAGTGTGTTAATAGTAATTAACCTGAAAAAAACGTTCATTATTGCTGCAACATTTCAATAAAGTGCATACGAATTTTTCTTGAAAAAAGTTGTAATTGTAAAGGTTTTTATGAACATTTGTAAAGTGTGCAACGTATTAATGTGAATATGTAGTTGAAGTGTTTTTTAAATGGCTGTATTTTTATTCTTTTACAACGTTACCAATTATACACCGAGGTTTTTAGAAAACAGAATCTGAGTTTGTACTGAAGAGGGACTTAAATTACAATTGAGTCCGAAATGCATATGACAAATCAATAAAGGAAGTTCATAACCTGAATGCTGTATATGATAGTCTACCAAACTGAAAATCGGATTAAAGAGACAAATTCACAATGGAATATTTAAATCTACCATGCACACTAATACCTTGACATTAACCAATTTGTGCTAAATGGTGCTAGGCAGAGTGACATTAATTGGACGAAAACTCATCATTTACTTGTAGGGGTTGACCAGGGATAAACATTTTTACAATAATAACCAGCATGTGACATTAAATGGGTTGACTGAATATTAAGTAAACAGTATATTGTATATAACATTTATTTTGTACCTGTTCAATTCATTCTCAGTTTATTATATTACTCTATATGTTTATATTAAAGATAATTTTTTTTTTAATTCTCACTCTCCTAAAATATCCCGTACACAGGCCTGCTTATAATTAATCTTGATGTGAATTATTTTTTAATTTTGATGAAAATTGGTTGTGCTTCAAAAATTTTATTTTTTAAAGGACTAAGTGTAAAAGAATAATTCAGGATTATTTAAGTTTTTACAGAGAAATTTATAAAGAAAAATGCATACACAAGTACAATACAACAGTGGTTCTGACAGGACAACTGTTGTTTACAAGCATGTATCAGGTGGTCTGCAGACTGACATTCAATATTTCAAGGTGTAGTTTCATGCTGTTTAGAGAAAGTAACATTTTCATGCAACACTTATCTTTAACTTTAGGTTACAAAGTATTTTTACGTACAATCTATCATTATTTGAGGCAATTTTTACAGAACAGGGACTTAGGTTGTCAACAGTTCATCTGACTTGGTTTAAGTGGTCCGTGGATTGATAACTTTGAGAACCAACGAAATAGAATCTTCTTATTGTAATTATAGATAGATATATCAGCCAAATTTTATAAGCCATACAAAATTGCTAGAATGGAAATAAAATGTGTTTATAACACATATGATATGATATAACCTTGTATCTCCTAAGTGGCCATTGAAATCATGACATTTACAGTCTGTAGTTGAAAACTGTGCATTTGAATCATTGTGTTAGGATTAGTTTTTGTTAGAATAAAAAATCATTCAAAATGAGTGTTTGAATAAAATTTACTAAAGTTTTAAATGCTTCTTTAAACAGAGCCATTGTAACAAATTGAAACATGTAATCAGTTCAAAGTAATATTTGATTCTAAATTGATACTTACTAAAAACTTGAAAAGAAGTAAAACTTGTTTTCAGGTTTTTTTTCTTTCTTTCTTTTTTTCTTTTTTAAGAAATTAAAATTATTTTGCTTAAAGAATTTTTATCGTTTTTGCATTTATAGCTGTTATATTTGCATTTAATATAATTTTTATAATTCTACAATTATTTTTCCAATAGATATATTTGTTTCTCCCAATGATCGAAAACCATCACTACCAGAGGGTCAACCAGTTACTTCCACAACTACCATGATGCCCACCACGCAGAAAACTGATGGAAAAGATCTTCAGGTATCAATATTATAATATATAGCTTCTATTTACATTTACTGCTGAAAATATAATGTTTTAAATTTACTTTTTGCATAATATTTGAGTTTATTAGTTAATAAACTCAAACGAAACTGTCACACATAAGTATGAAAAATTATATTATAAAATATAATATGCATCAGGTAATTAAAAGGTGATTTTATAATTTTAAAATTTGTAACAGACTAAGGAAAAGCTTATCCAAAAGATGCTATATTTAAGTTTGCCCTGATGCTGAATGTTCTAGCCAAATATATAGGTACAAGGATCACCTAGTTTGTGCCTAACAAGTGCAAGGATTGTTTCTTTCTTTCCAGCTTTGCCTCAATTCTATTGTAATATGTCGAAATCTCACAACATCCTAGTTTATATTATTATATTTTTTTCATATTAAAATTTCATTCTGCAGTATAATCTGTTACAGATTAGAGCAGATTTAATAGCACAATCTATTTTGACATTTAATTCATATTTTTCACCTTTATAAGGTGCATGCATTGTTGTATTGGATGTATCACATTTTTACTTCAGTTTTTTGTGGAAAAAATGTTCCTTACAATATAAGATGCATTCAGTTTACAGGACATCTCAGTTTTCAGAACCACTTTTCTGAACAAAATTTATCTTAATAAAACAAAAAATGTGGTAATTAGGAATATTTTTTGTGTAATCAGAATTGTTAAACAAACATAATATATTGATATGAAAATTTGTGACAAAGTTGGTACTATATTAAATATCCAAAAATAAACTGCTAAGTTAAGGTAAATATTTGTTAAGTACAGATAATCCCTGTATAACACGGGAGTTACATTTCAAAAAATTGCCGTGTTATGCAAATCCGTGCTATACAAAACAAAGAACTAGTGCGAAAAGGGGGTTAGGTTCCAAAAATGAAAAAATATGTTGCTAAATCCTTATTTAAATCGGATTTATTATTCATTTTTTCATAGGTAAAATACTTATTTATTATTTAAGTAAATATTTTACCAGAGGATTATTCATTTTATATGATGATCTCAGCATGAGCATCATCAGCTGGTAACAGTTTGTGGGTGCGTTCATTAATAGTGGTCGCTCTGCAATGGGAGTGCGCTGCTGTTTGTAGGCATTTAGGAACAATGGTGAAAGAAAGATGGCGGCACCCACACTATTGATAGTATCGTGTGGAGGAATCTATAATTCTAAAATGTACTTTTAGAGGCAAAAGAAGGGTCCCAATTGTAAAATTTAAAACATTTTTAAACCAATTGCAAATTTTAACCATTAAATGGATTATTTGTTGGAAGAGCATTCAAAGTAGCCACTAAAACAATTAGAATGCTCACGCAGAGTTACGTGGAGGTATAAAAGAACGCACCCTTTATTACATTTTATGTTGTACGAGGGTTTTACCCAATTCCCGAACTGTGTTAGAGTGAACCCATGCTATAGAAGTGCCGTGTTATATGGGGGTTACCTGTATATAAATTAAAGTTATATTTGAAAATAAACATTTTTGGACTAATTTAGTCCATCTTCAGCTTTTTCAGTATAATTTGGATACAATTCAAAAAATAGAATACAAAATTAACAGTTGACATTAGAATAATTTTTATGTCCAGTAACTTTCTTTTCTAATAAATATTTTGGCTATTTAACTTAGCAGTTTATTTTTGGATATCATATTGTTAAGTACAGTATTAAAATTAAAAATTAAAATAATGCTTATATTTCTAAAGTAAGTTTTTATTTTTTCATATTTTAGGTATGAGTTTTTCATTAGGCTGGAAAAAAATTTTTTAATTGAATTTATTGGCAGAAAAAAATAATAAAAATTTACTTCATTTTTATTTTAAATACAAATGAATAAAATATATTCAGTTTATAATTTCTGATTTAAATTTATAGATAATGTTATCATTGTTTGATTTTATTATATAAAAAAAAATTAATTTACATACAAATATATATACAATTTAATTTTTCAAATAAATCTTGTTTATCATTGGATATGAATATAGTTTAATAACTAACTCCATTATTTTCAAAAATGAATAAGTTGGTCAAATGATATTAAATTTTTTTCTGTTTAGAATATGACATTAAAATTTTGTTTAATCAATATCCCATCTCAATTTGAAATTCACATTAAGTAATTTTTTCATGTGAAGTAGCAGCATTTAGATTTTTTTTTAATATTATAAACACTCAGATTTTATTTTATAGCCACCAATAAAGGTCCCTCCTCCAGATGATGAAAATAGAGTACCAGATACACAGGATCCAGTTTTTCCTGAAACTTCTACAAAATTTAATGTGGGCAGCTCTCCTTCACCAAATGACAATAATGAGAGAGAGAATGATATTTTTAACATGGGTCATAAACAGTATAGTAGATCATCATCTTTCTTTGCACAGCCTGGAATATTGGCAGGTAGGTATTAATAAAAGAATTAATATATTTTATATTGAAAATTTTTAATAAAATTATAAATGAAAACAGTACATAAAATTTATAGTTTCTGCATAATAAGTTTATTATTAAAACAGCAATGAAATCAATTAGATTCTTCTAAGTTATTCCTGTTAATTCATTATTAAGCTTAGAATATTGACTTTGGTTATATATATATATATATTTACTTTTTTATTGTAATATATTAAAAAATATTACATATATTAAAAACTTACTATTCATATAAATGCAATTTTGAAATTAACCAGATGAAAGATAAGTGAATCAATCTGCAATGTAGTTGCACATTGATTGTTCACTTATTCACTTATATCCCAAGTATCTAGTTTCTGTTCACTTGGAATAAGTAACATTTCTTTGTTTGAATTAATGCTGTAAATATGAAAAAGAACTTGTAAGTTAGTTTTTTTTTATTTCACTTAAAAAGCAATACTATTGTTTTGTAATAATTGACTGATGATTAACATTTCTTTATTATTATTTATAAACTTTTAAAAATTTCTTCATTATTAAAGTTTAAAATTAAATATAAAAAAATTGAATAAAGTCTTAGCTGGAAAATAGTTGAATAAAATATTGAGATTATTTATAAAGTTAGAAGTGCTAAAAGATTGTCATCTTCCTTTTAATTATCATATTGAATGAGAATATACCAGTCGTGTTTGATTAATTTTGTAATTAATTGTTTCAAAGTAGATTTAAAAGAAACTATAGAACAAAAAAGAAAAATAATTTGTTTCTATAGAAAAATTATAATGTATTTTTAAAATAATTCATATTTTGACTTGGAAGAGGGCAGTGGAAGTATACATATTTTTTCCTTGAACATACTTCCTATGCAAAATCCTTTGAGTATTTGCAGAAGGTAAAGTTGAATAAATTTTAAATTTTAATGTAGTTCACACTTTCAATGTGATTTTACAATTAAATATACATTTATTTAGTGTTTATGATCTGACAAGAATTAAGAACCCAAAACCCATTTTCACTACTGGTGTGAAAATTCACACTAGTAGTGAAAATGTGAGGTTAGGATGCTTATTATCTATTAGAAGGCTAGGCATCTATTAGAAGCATCAGAGTTATCTATTAGAAGGCATCAGAATAAAACAATTTGATTTGGTTTTCATATCCATTTTAAAATTTCATTCCATTCCATTGTATTAATATAAAAAACTTTTTAATGTTTAATATTACTTTTACACCTAGCTATTTACATCCCAATGCAAACATGCAAAATTGACATCTGACAGCCAAAGATTGTTTTGTATTTTAAATTACTACATTCCATCATATGTTCTATTCTGTATACTTTTCCATATAAGTTCTTTAACTTAAGCATGATTGCTAAAAGCAATCTGAAAATGTTTGTTTTCTCCACTGTTGTATTTCATGAGCTGGCATTTTGGACTTGAGAACTGAAAAGAAAATACATTTCTTGTCTTTCTATTCTCTTCTTTTAAGTGTTGATACTTTAAAATAACAAAAAGAAATATTTGTGCTATTTACTATGATGTCAGTTTAAAATACAGTGATCTTAACTACATTCAAAACTGATATCTAGTTGATTTATATATATATGTATGTATATGTGTGTGTGTGTGTGTTTAATTTGAGAGAAGAAAATGAAACTAAAAAGCAAAATTAGGAAAGATTGTAAAATGTATTTTTAATATTTTAGGTACATTTAAGATTAATATTTATACAAATGTAATTTTTTTATTTGGATAATTTTTATTAACAATTATCCTTACATTTTCAAATGTAAGGATAATTAACTGTTTTGATCAATATGCATTGTTTTATCAGTTCCTATAATTAAAGAATTGTGATATACAAAGAATAGAAAAGTAGCACTTCTAGAATATAATAAGAAAGTATCCTCCACTTTTTTTGAACAAAAAGGGAAGAGAAAAGTATCTAACAAATAATATATGAAGTATTGAGCAAGTTATTTTAATATGAACTTCTCTCTTTCCATTTCCATGAAATATGAAGCATACTTATTGATTTTTCTTCTCTTTCAAAAATCTTAGAGTAAGCATGTATGGGGGACAATTTTTTTTATATATTTTTGTTTTTTAAATTTTTCATAAAAACATATTTACTAATTTATAATTTTAATACATCTTTAATCCAATAATGAAATAATAGCAATGTGTATGTGTTATGTGAGTTTTCACAAGTAACATCAATACAGCAAGTATCCTTTTAGTAAAAAAAGAAACAAAAAAAAAATACTATAGTTTAAATGTTGTTAAAACTGGAATAAGAAATTTTTAAAATATCATTTATTATGAACCACACCAACAACAAAAAAGAATTGTTTTGTTTTTTTCTTTTAATATCCTATTTTCCTGAAGTAGAAATGTAAATTTTATATTTTTCAGTTATTTATATATAAAAACTGAGAAATTTTACTTTTTTATTTTTAAAATTCAAAAATAATATAGAAATTAAATTTATAAGACATAGGAAATGTGTTTTAAAAAATTTATGTAATTATACATTGTGAAAGAAAAGTTTCAACATAAAAAATGTAAAATAAAGAATAAAAATAAATTTAAAAACTTCTAAAAAATATGATGATAGTTTTTAAGTGTTATCAACAAGAATTATGAAATTAATAAATAAATATTTTAACCCTTTATAATTAAGTTTTTGCCTGCGATTTTTCTGTTGTGTAATTTCTAAATGAAATTATACAACAGAAAAATCACAGACGAAAAGAAACAGAAAACCATGTCCAAAAAAATCAACAATGCAATATTAAAATAAAATTTATTAAAATACTTTCATTTTCATTAGTAAAATGTAATAAAATTTTAAATTTGAACATTTTCTCATATTCAAACAAATTTGAAACTTATAATTTATAATATTATTTATAAATATACAAATATTTATAAATACACCAAAATATGTGTTTCCATTTATTAGTTTTTGTTGTTTAAATCTGTTATAATGGAAACCTTTTTATGCATACAAACTTAATTATAAAGCTAAATTAAACCTTCTTCTTAAATTCATAAAAGAGGTTATAATTTAAAAAAAACTTGTTAAGTATAATTCAAAATATATATTCAAATAACTTTGGAGTATTAAATGTGATATAAGTAATTTTTTTGTAAATAAGTTATTTTGTATTAATAATAAAGAACCAAGTTTTGATCAACTTACAAATGTTAAAGTTTAAAGATATAACAACAAATTAATGTTTTATACTTAAAAATAATTAATTAATGAAAATGCAAATATATAAATTTGATTTAAGATAAAAGAATTATTTATTTCAATTCATATCATATTTATGGATTACTGTAGTAAAATTTAATATATAATATATTTAATAAATTATGCTGAATAAAATTAATTTTGCTATAGATTATAGTAGATGATGATAAATAATAAAAGGGATGTAATATTCTAATTATACAAGATTAATTAAATCCAATCAATATTACATTATTTATTAGAAAATAATTTACAATGTAATTTTAAAATGTAGCAATAATTGTAGAAATATATTATTTTAATATAATTTAAAAGTGTAGGAATAAACTTAATTTTTCATTAAGTTTATTCCTACAACTTTTAACAATTGAGCCATTCACAGGCCAAATTTGATTAACTCCATTTGTAAATCCTTAACATAATTGTTATTATTTTATGTTTTTCACTTTAATTTTATATATCGTTACATTAAAGTTATGCTTTAATAAATATAACAATATATAAAATTAATTATGCTTTAATGTAACGGTATATAAAAATAATTCTACGATGTCTATTTAAATTTAAAGTTTAAAAGGAATTTTATAAACTAATTTATATTCACAATTTTTATACTTTTTGTTTTGTGGAGTTAATCAATTTGGCAAGTGAGCGGCTAAGTTTTCAATTAAGTTTATAAAAGATTTGAAAATACATTTTAAAAATATTTTATTATATTTTCAAATTCAAATTAAATATTAGAAATAGAGACAAAACTGATGTAGAAAATCTGTTCTTAAGGACATGAAATTTATCAGTTTTAAATAAGTCAAAATATTGTTTTTATTGAATCATTACTTATGTATTATTTTTTGCTTATATTAATGATATTTATTCATTGTAACAAATTTTTATTTTGCTTAGCTGTGATAGGAGGTGCTGTTGTTGGTTTGTTATGTGCTATTCTTCTAGTAATGTTCATCGTTTATCGAATGAGGAAAAAGGATGAAGGAAGTTATGCCTTGGATGAACCCAAAAGATCCCCAACAGTGAATTCCTACACACGTAACACCAACAAAGAGTTTTATGCATAAGTTTTATTATTTTATCATATCTGTCCTTTGTAGACATCATGCTGCCAAGACCTTATCAGCAGCAATTTGGAACAACAGTAGTGTCTTCTTTTTACAATGCTGGAACATGGTATTATTTTAAACTAGAAGTGTATTGCAGTTTAGTACAAGACTATAAGCCAGAGAAAAACCTAGAAAGGGTTGTGTGTCATTGTCAAATATTGTATTGACACTTTTTAAGGAGGTATCTGCTGTTGTTGTTATTTGATATATATACTTGGCCACCTTTTCACTTAATCATGCCTTCCTATAACTGTTGTGCTTCACCAAACTTTGATATTTAAAAAAATAAATAAAATGAAAAATCAAGTCATCTGATTTATGGCAAATATGTAGTTCTTTGTATAAATAAACTGTTTTAAAAATCACACATTCCACCTTCTTAAAATGCTGGTTTTCCCTCTTTCTTTCCAAAACTTGAAGTTAGTGTCATCTGTATAGGAATAAAAATGAATTAAGTAATTGTACAGATTTTTTTTATCACTATCATAACTTTGAACTGGTATTGCAGTACCAGAATATAATATTGTCAATATTGTCTTGTGCATGTTTAAATATGCTTCTGCCAAGATATAATGTGATGTATTGTGAACATAATTTCCAATTTATCTAATGTTTTAAGCACTTTTTATACTTTTATTCAGCTGAATCTGCTGATGATCACAAGAAGCTTTCAAATGATATATGTTGATTTTCTTGAGGAAAAAAATAATATTAATTTTGTGTTCTATGTTAGGATAATAATTCTTACCTCCAGAAAAAGAATTAAAAGGTGGATTGTCTCAGGTGTTAGTCTAGTTTTTGTACCTGTTGACATTAGATGTGTTGCTTGTGTAGTAGATCTGTTTTTCTGACGCATTTACCTATCATAATTTCATACATCGTTACTTAAAAGCTATCTTTTTTACTCTGTCAACATTAGCACAAAAATTTCTTGCTACAAATATAAAACTGCAAGATATTTTGTGGAATTTCAGAATTTTATATGTGCTACTTGAATTCCATTTGCATGCACAATTGCATAGGCCTTTAATTTCTATTGCATTACAACAAGTACACCCAAAAATTTGGGATGCAATATGAAAGATGAATGAATTTTTTCCACATTTTATCTTGTTTATACAATATAAAAAGTAATTTGTTTAATAAGTTTATAAAAAGCTATAGCAATGTATATAGTTGTCGATTTTAAATAAAAAAAAATTGTAATGGGTAATTGTGTTTATTATTATTATTATTTTTTTTTCTTTTAAGTTATTGATTTCATTTAATAGTGAAATATTCCATTTTATTGTTAATTTGTTTCATGCATTGACACAATGATAGTTCGCATTATGATCTGCCAAATGTATCATATATATATTATATGCATGCAATCTGTGCAGTCCAGTCCTGTAAACATACAAATTATTACTTCTGAGGCAGATCAATCTTTTTTTTCTGTTGTTCAAAACTTCAATGTTGTTGGAAAATTTGTAATTTCAGTACACACATAGAAAGATAAAGAATGACTTGCTAATTTGGTAATGATAATTTTCCAAAACAATTAACAATAAAAGTTGTAATATAGTGTAACAATTATAATTTTGAAATTGCTAGTATATCTGATGTTAAAATTATATTATTGTTGTAATTTTCTTTTTCTGAATGAAATAAAATAAAATAGCTAATGTATGTAAAAAATAATAATGTACTTACAAATCAATTATATAGATAAACTGCTAAAATTTGAAAAATGTAGCTTTTTTTCCCCCTGTATTACGTATCAGATGACAGAATGCAGTCATCTGTTTAGTATAGAGAAATTTTAAAAAGCATGTAAATTCTTTGAGAAAGTTGAAGAAAGTGGAAATAAAGAGCATTTTGAACACTTGTGTATGTAGTGTTTATGCATGGTTGCTAGCTAGACAATGTTAAAGAGGAAACAAATATATCTACTACAATTGAATAAATAACTGAAATTAAATTTTCAAATTCTGAGTAGTTTGAAAAGTTTATATGTATTTTTATTAATTTTAATTATTATTTCATTTAATAATATAAAAAATTAATTTATTTAAACATCATTAATATGTTGATCATCATAATACAAATTCCAAAACTCAGAAAAAGCTGTGAAAAGTAACTTTATATATACAGTATATATAATTATTTGATAATCTCCAGATGATCTATAACTCTATTATTTTAAATAAAATAAATTATAATAAGTTTTCATTATATATATTAAATGAAAGAAAAAGTTTTTTTCTCTGTTAAAGTCCAGAAAGATAATAGATGTCAGTAATATGAAAGCAAACATATATACTATTTTTTATTTTAATAGCAAAACGATCTTTAACATAGTTAAAATTTTATCATAATTATCTTCAAATTATACCTTTTGTAATTTTTACTTTTATTTCATCCCCAAATTATTTAATAAAAATAATTTGATTAAAGCAGCTTCATTTACCACAGTCCCCCAGAGGCAGAGTGGAGATGAAGATGGCCCTCATATAACTTTACAAATAAATGTTTGGTAGAGGACCCTACCACCAAACAACCTAGCTTTGAACTACCAAAAAAATATTGGACACAAATTAATAGATGCTGGACAGCTCAAGGAAGTTGTGCATTTCTATTACATAAATGGTCAATGTTACCCTACTCTGCTCAATCAGAGCTGTTGCAGACTACTGTTCATATTGACTAGGAGTGTCATATATATTCTGTAAGAGGGAGCTTGAAAGTCATTAACAAGATGACCCCTGAAATGATCCAGTGATTGAAATTGATTGATATCAAACGTTAGGTGTCCTCACCACACAAACCCAACAATGAAATGGACCAAGGGTTGTAGTTACATGAAGCTACATGAGCCAGAGTGCTAACTCATATGTATCTGTGTATCTTTGTGGTTGTAATGTCATACACTTAACTTATTGTTGTAAATTATTATTATTATCTTAATTGACTATTGTTTACATTTAATGTATAGATTGTAATTACTAAAATCACCACCAAACACATTTGGCTGCCAAGAGATATTTATTTACTAGATACTAAAATTTTCAGGAGGTAATGAGAATGGCTGAAGATAGGAACTCCCTCTCCTTGGTGATCGCCAACGTCCGGGGGACCGGGCATGGCACGTGAAGAAGAAGAAGAAAATTTTCAGACTAATGCATAGGCCATCCTGGGATGCCTTATTTTTGAAACGTCAGTTATAAACTGTTCTAGAATAAAATACGTTAAATACAAAATATTAGAACATAAAAATTTTAAATATAAATGTAACATCCGATAACTCATAAAAGTAACAAAAATTCTAACTTAAAACTAACATTAAATTCTAACATAAAAAGTGAAGAAAAAATAAAACTAGAATTGTAAATTTTAAATACAAAAATATATCTTCAGTGAATGTGGTAACTAGGAGTTTCTATCAACACGCTTTTACTTTCCTGGATGTTATAACAAGGAAAGTGTGGTGATCTGGCAAAAAATGGCCCTCCCCGTTTTTACATTTTTGGATTTAGGACATCTTGAAACGTCGAGTGCAAAAAAATTTGGGAGTTCTTTCTGATATATATTGTTATTAGTGTGCGTGTGGGGCACGATTTTGTTCACCCTGTTTGTAGCTCTGTGCTTTTTGTCGAAAATTTCTGAACTTTTGTAGCGAGGTTTGTGTATTAGGAGGATTGGTGCTATTAAATTTTGGTAGTTAAAGGTCGAGGGGGTAGGGAGATAATGGGGGTCGTGTGTATCTCCAGTAGGGTCAGACTTAATGACGATTTTGCTGGTTATTAGCATTTACAATTTTAATAAAATCCTACCCTCAAAATTAAGCTTTTTTGCCATTTTAAAATAGTTATATTTTATTTAAAAAACGTTTTATATATTTAACAGATGACACCACCAAAATTTTAAATATTAACCGAGAAAGTTGAGCAACTCGTTGCTGGATTGTTTTACAATGAACTTCCATACTGATAGTAAACTGTCTGCATCTCTTGCATTAACATATTTATCCTCCAACTGCTCTTATATATTTCAATTTTTTCAGCATTCAGCACCAATGTTGGGGAGTGTAAAGTCAACTATCTCAGTCACCCCATTTTACCTTAAAACCTTCAGCTTATGACACCATTATGCAATGGCTGTTTTTAACGTTATGTTGATACTCTAAGTATTGATATAATTCTCAAGTTTCTTTTGGTGACTCCAATATAATTATTGTGTATACGTAATTGCATGTTTTCGTATGGTATCTCGTACACCCGCTTTTTTATACAAGCGTCTAGCGACCGGGCGCGTTTCAACTTACTCTAATGGTGTCTTCCTCTATCGGACAGTTTAGGAACTATGATATGTTCAGAAAAGAGTTTAAATAAAGTAAAAAATAAGAACTAAGTGTCAGTTTTCAGTTTTATTGGAAGGAAAATTAAG